TCTTAAATTTTTTTTATTTTTTTAACGTTTATTTTTGAGACAGAGAGAGACAGAGCATGAACGGGAGAGGGTCAGAGAGAGGGAGACACAGAATCTGAAACAGGCTCCAGGCTCTGAGCTGTCAGCACAGAGCACGATGTGGGGCTCAAACTCACGGACCACGAGATCATGACCTGAGCCCGTCGGATGCTTAACCAACTGAGCCACCCAGGCGCCCCTTAAACTTTATTTTTTGAAAGAGAGAGAGAGAGAGCCAGCTAGGTAGGGGCAGAGAGAGAGGGAGAGAGAGAGAATCCTAAGCAGGCTCCAAACTGTCAGCACAGAACCTGATGTGGGAATTGATCTCATGAACCGTGAGATCATGACCTGAGCCAAGATCAAGAGTCAGACGCTTAACCAACCGAGCCACCCAGGTGCCCCTAAAATATACTTTTTTTATTGTTTGTTTATTTTGAGAGAGAGAGGGAGAGAATGCAAGCAGGGGACAGGCAGAGAGAGGGGGGAGACAGGGAATCTGAAGCAGGCTCTGTGACAGCAGCACAGAGCCCTACGCAGGGCTCAAACTCTCAAACCATGAGATGGTGACCTGAGCTGAAGTCAGATGCTTAACCTATTGAGCCACCCAGACGCCCCTAAAATATAATTTTTATACCCCATTTGAACAGATATATGTTGAACAGCCCTACCTTCTTCTAATTTCTCAATGAAAAATGTTGATGTTAAGTAGTCTCTGCAAGCTGATAGCAAGTTAGAATCTAATGCTAGGTTGTAAATTCTTTGAAGCACAGCCCCAGGTCTTTCCTGGTCTTTGCATTCCCTTGCCCCAAACTGACCCTCACGCTAATGTTTTTCCAATGAAATTGTTAATCTGTTTTCTGAGTACCCATTGCTGAGAAACTAACCCGCCCCAAATATAATGACATAAGCATTTGATTCTGCTCGTGGATTCTGTGGGTCAGGGATTCAGACAGAGCACAGCAGGGTGACTTCTCCCTGTTATGTGACATCCGGGCCGCAGCAGAGAAGAGCTGAAAGCCAGGACTGTAGCATCTGGAACTGGAGATCTTCATTCACGTGTCTGGGACGCTGACGGAGGTAACTGTGGAGACACAGGCTCAGCGAGGCGAGCCTACAGGTGGCCTCTCCAGCCTGCTGGCCTCCAGGATTGAAAGTTCTTACGTGGCACTCAGTGTTCCAGTGAGTAAGTCAGAAGAAGCCGCGTGGCCGTGTAGGAACCAGCCTTGAAGTCACGTAGCGTCCCTTTTGCTGTCACTCTGTGTGAAGCAGTCCACCCTGGGCTTCACTTCAGACATTTGCAGCTGTGTTTTAAAACCCACACAGACAGGCAAACGAGTGATACATTGAGTCACAGAGTGTGATTATTCTGACTGTGGCATCTCTGCACACAGTCTCGCTCATTTGATAGCAATTGACAAGTTTCATTAAAACTCACCATTTCAGCATCAGCAACAGTGATCCATTGTATAAAAGCTACATGACTATCATATGTCTTTGTAAGCTTTTTAGGATTTGGAAATCTCTCGTTTTTTTTAATTAATTTATTTTTGAGAGAGAGAGAGAGAGAGAGAGAGAGAGAGAGAGAGAATCCCAAGCAAGCTCTGAGCTGTCAGCACAGAGCCTGATGCGGGGCTCAAGCTCACAAACCATGAGATCATGACCTGAGCCGAAACCAAGAGTCAGACACTTAACCAGCCGAGCCACCCAGGATTTGGAAATCTCTTAATTATTAATAGAAATATGGCATTCAGAGTAGTTTGCATAAATCTGGTAATTTTGAGTTTAAAATTAACTTCCCTGTTGGAATAAAATTCTGCTCTTAAGAAATCTGCCTCAATTTGAGAACAGCTGATATTTTCTTCTATCGCTAAAAGTAGATATTTATGAAAGGTGAATTTGTTCTTTACTAAAATTACTAGTTATTAAGTGACTATATATTAGTAAAACAATGAAGAATTTCTAAAGACATGGGAAAGTGCTCATCTTTGGAAAAATAAAGCTCTTAAGAAATTCTCCATTGAGTATATAACATTTTTGTAATTACTTTGTGCAATTCTGCCCACCGATATCAACTATAAAACCTTACCTCTCTCCTTCTCTACCCCTCTTCCCCGCCTCACCCCCAATAATTTAGCATTATACCTGATGGTAATTGTACATGTCAATTTTTTGTTGTTGTTAAATTGAGCATTTGTGTCCTCGTTTGTGGCAAAGTTCCAAACCCTTGTTTCCTCTTAAAGCTTATAGTTTAATATTATTGTAAAAGGTTAGTACAATCGAGAGAAAACGTTTAAAGAAGTCTTTTTTCCATGCCGAGAGCTTTTCTAGTTCATCAGATGGTTTCAGAGCCTTTAGAGGTACGGGTGGGTTGAGGCCAGGTTGCTCTGTTAAGTTCACAGTTTAACTTAGAGGGAAGTTCCTGTTTGGCAGACTCTTCACCGGCATTCTTCTCTTACGTGTAATATAAAAAGCGGATGCATATTTGCAAATCATATAGCTGATGAGAGTATCCAGAATAAAGAATTTTTACAACTCAACAAAAAGGCAAGGAATCCACAATTTTAAATGGGCAAAGAATTGGAACAGATATTTTTCCAAAGAAGTTTATTTAAATGGCTAGTAAGCACATGAATAAATGCTCAACATCATTGGTCCATTCCTATAATGGGTTGTTTGTCTTTTTGTAAGTTGTAAGCATATATATATATATATATATATATATATACACACATACAGTGTGTATACACACGCACACATATGTACATATGTTTGTGTATATATATGTATATATTTATATTCTGTATATAAATACATATTCTGTATACTAGACCATTATCAAATATACGATTTGCAAATGTTTTCTTTTGTTCTGTTGGGTGTCCCTTCACTTTCCTGTGCCCTTTGAAGGACAAACAGGTTTAATCTTTTTTTCTTTTAAATGTTTATTTATTTTTGAGACCGAGAGAGACAGAGCATGAACGGGGGAGGGGCAGAGAGAGAGGGAGACACAGAATCGGAAGCAGGCTCCAGGCTCTGAGCCATCAGCCCAGAGCCCGACGCGGGGCTCGAATTCACGGACCGTGAGATCGTGACCTGAGCTGAAGTCAGACGCTTAACCGACTAAGCCACCCAGGCGCCCCCAAACAGGTTTAATCTTTATGAAGTCCGGTTTTTCTGTGTTTTCTTTATTTGCTTATGCTTTTGGTGTCATAGCCAGGAAATCACTCCCTAATGCAGGGTCACAAAGATTTACACCTGTTGTCTTCTAAGACTTTTATGATAGTCTTTGATCCATTTTTAATTAATTGTGATTGGAGAACATGATGTGTCTACTTCAATCCTTATTTAAATTATATTGAGGCTTTTTTCTTTTTGCAAGATTCATTTAATCATGAAACAGACAGATGGATGCATCAGTGTCAAGGAAAAGAGTGTATCAAAACCTTTTCACTTTCATTAAAGGTTTTGACAATGGGAGCTTTATAAAATGTCACTAAAGTCTATTTGCTATACAAAAAACATCTACTTCTAAGTAGGAGACCTATGCCATTTAGAGCAACCATTTTAATGTGTAGAATAGTTCTGAATTCTTTCTGTAAAAATATTTGGCTAAACGATGAAACATCTTTGGAACAAAATTGACAGTGTAAACTTAAGTAAGATTTCAGAAATGTCTCCTGGAAAAACTGGGAATATTTCCTTTTGCCAGGCAAGCTCTGAACAGTTTAGGTGGTAAGGGGCCATAAATCAGACGAAGCTAAGAAGGAACATCGTGTTACTAGAAAAAACGGCCTGTAATGTGGATGTCCTCCACGTCCAACTGACAGCCACTTAATGGCGATGACTTATTATATGTAAGAAAAACAGAACATGTTCTTCAGCAGGAAATGACATTACAGATAGTTCTTGAAAATAAACCTCTTAGCAAAGCCCTAAATAGCTTCAAAGAGCATCAGCACAGAATGGGTGAAGATAATTTATATGATGTTAAAGGATTCCTTTATATATTCTAATACCTTCCTTTTTAAAAAAATTTTTTTAACATGTATTCAATTTTGAGAGACAGAGACAGAGCATGAGTGGGGGAGGCTCCAGGCTCCGAGCTGTCGGCACAGAGCCCGACGTGGGGCTCGAACTCAGGAACCATGAAACCATGAGATCATGACCTGAGCTGAAGTCGGGACGCTTAACCGACTGAGCCACCCAGGCGCCCCTAGTACCTTCCTTAAATAGAAACACGCATCACACATAAACACTTTAAACACTGATTCTCTTAATCAAACGTTCCTTTACGACCACACTTGGCTACGAGCGCCATTTGGGTGCAGAGGTTTAACTCCCGCTGCTCTGGACAAGCCAAGATGGGGACTGATTTGGACACTTGGCGGACACTCGTGCCCCTGGGCCCCTGCTGCTGCTGCTCCGTCTGCCCACCTCTGGTGGGACCCACCTAGGTTTTTCGCTTCCAGTTGACGGGCTGCGTATTTGTTATGTTTTCCTGGCGGCCTCCAGAGAGTTGCACTTGGATTTAGGTTTCTTCTCCTTTTTTTTTTTTTTTTTTTTTTATTTCTTGAACTTTACCTTTCCCATCGGGAAAGCTCCGTCCTACCCTCCCTGTCCCTGCAATCAGAATCGTCCTCAGACTCCCTTGTCCAGTCCAGAGTCCTTAGCGCTGCCCCCATCACTGCGTACCCTTGTCTCTTGTGCCACAACTTCCCACGCTGCTCTTCTTCTCCCTGGAACACCCGAAAATCCTCTCCCTCGGTCGTCTTTCCCGGATCTGAATCATCACCGGCTACACAGCATTTGGAGATACGGGGAGACTTAGCCCCGGTTTCCGTTTCGCTGTTGCCACGTTTTTCTCTGCCTTTATCTTCTTTAAAACTTTTTTTTTTTTAACGTTTATTTATTTTTTTGAGACAGAGCATGAACGGGGGAGGGTCAGAGAGAGGGAGACACAGAATCTGAAACAGGCTCCAGGCTCTGAGCTCTGAGCTTTCAGCACAGAGCCCGACGCGGGGCTCAAACTCACAGACCGCGAGATCATGACCTGAGCTGAAGTCGGCTGCTTAACCGACTGAGCCACCCAGGCGCCCCTCTCTGCCTTTATCTTGAGCCGCCTCCATATCAACTGTTAGAGTTCCTTCACCGACAGGGCCAGTGTGGCTCCCAGTCTCTCTGGCAGAGCGTGTTGTCTAAAGCCAGCCTTTTGCGGGGGTTTCCTCTTGTGGTGGATGTCTTCTTTCGGGAGCCCCTTTCTGGAGGTTTTGGTGTTTCTAGTTTTCACTCCTTTGGTGGTGTTCTGGGCTTCTTACCTGAAGGTGCAGTTGTAAAAACAAGATCGGTCACTGCAGTCAGAGTCCTCATACTGTGAGTCGTTGACTGGTTTCTTAGGCCTCACAGACCACACCAGGGCCCCTTTCAAGGCTGAAAAGTTTGCAGCCTTGAAGTTCTTGCCGGGGACAGTGTGCTGTCAATTCCCACCCCAACCCGGATGCCGGGAGCTCTCTGCCCCCTGCCATCAGCCCTCCAGTGAGGAGCACAGGTTTTGAATGGTCTCTCCCTCTCCTCTTTCCCCCCACAAGCCCTGTGAGTGTTAGCCCTCTTAGCCAGTTACTGACCGATTGGGATGTGGGTGGACCTGTCTTTACCTCTTGAACACTTAGAGTTTTCCTTTTTTAAATTTATTCTTGCATAAGATAAGAGAGGCTTTAGAGTTACTTGGTGTGTAGGATTTTATAACCGTCAGCTAGGCTCTTTCCCAGCCATGCAACCTTCTGCTAATGCTTCCTTCCCGCTTCCTGTGCCTCGTCCATTTCCCCCATTGAAAAGCAGCTGTCACCCATGTAGATTGCATGCGTGATTTATATTCGGGGAATTCAATCTTTACCTACATTTTCAGTCCCAAGTGTGTTTTACGGTCTCAGTTTTGTTTTTTTTTATTGAATGAAATATTTTTAAAAGGCATTTCTCATTAAACTTGCTTACTTGACAACAGTCCTTTTTCTCAGTGATAGAGTTTTCCAAACGTTTCATCAGGCCCTTGCAGGATCATTTTCTGGAGTGCTGCACAACAACGCAGAAAGGAAAATCAGTTGTCCCCTTCCTTAACAAAGGTGAAGAGAATCGCTTCTCGGCCTTTTGGCTAAGGTCAAGGGCAGTATCTGTTCTTATCAGTTTAACACAGGTGAAGAGAAAGCACGTACTGAAAGGTGAAGGAAGAAACTCTGTAAAGGTCCTTTTCAAGAACTTGGAAACCTACGACTTCTCTTTCATGTGTGAGGAGAAATGTATTGCTTTTACAGTTAAGAGGTAGCTTTCAGTTTTAGTTGAATTTAACCCAGTGTTTGAGTTTTGTTGAAATTTTAGGTTTTTAAAAATACCGTCACTGAACGAAGTCGGTCGCCCTCGTCGTAAGACCACCAGCCACCGCGTGCACCACATGCAGCCTCCGCGGCGTCCGTGGAGCCGTGTCAGGGGCCAGGGGCATGTGTCTGGCTCTCCATCCTCTTTTCTCCTGCTCTTCCAGACTGGCCATTATTAGTCACTTTGTCCGGTCAGGATGTCAGATGCCCAAGAACTGGCGTTCTGATGTCCGTGTCTAGAGACCATATTTCAGTGTTTAAACAAGCATCTGGCTGCCCCCTTTGTTTGCTTCCCTAAGCAAAAACAAGGAAGACAGCCGTTCTCATTTCTTGGTGCCTGTGCAAGTTTCCCAAGCGCTTGGCGTCTACTCTTCAGCCCACCTAGGATATCTGCGATGCCACTATCGTCGTTCTAAGTTTAAGAGCCAGACGTGTTTTCCTCTCCTTCCGTGTCCGTCAAAAGTTGTCGGGCCTTTGCCAGTAAGTGAGGGTGTGACGTTGGCCGTGACGGTGGAGAGGCGGAGTGCCTCTCAGGGTCCCCGTCGGGGTGCCAGGGCACATTGCGGAAGAGGGTTGCTGTTTCTGCCCTGTGGTTAGGCCATTTAAGCTGCGGGAAAGGGTCCTGTGATCAGAGTTGCAAAATAATATTTGCAGCTTAGTGCCAACCATACTGGGGTACGTATTTCTGGTACCCGTGTATATCTGAATGCAGTCTCTTTACTGAAGTGTTCTTTTGAGATACACACGGAACCGGGGTTTGCACCAGTGCCTTCTTTTAAATTTGCTGTGTGGAGCGGTAAGGACTTCGTCTGCACAGAGATTAACACCAGAATCACATACCGCTTGCGGATGACGTCGAAGTAAGTTTTGCAGAGAAGCCATCGCTCTTCTGTTGCTGTGGCGCCAGCTGCGGATCGCTTTTGTGCTTTCGAATCGTCTGGGAACCGCCTGTTGGTCTCTTTCTAGATGTCCTGGAGCTGCTCATCGGAGACTTGCCCTAGAGAGGAGGAAGACTGGTAGAACTCAGACAGAGACTGAGAGTGAGAACGGACCCACTACAGTAGGCCCTCCAGGTACTTTATCCCCCGAGGCGGACTGCTCAGGGTCGGGCACAGCGCCTACCGAGCGGAACTGGATGCCGGCGTCCCTTCCCACGTGGACCGAGGAGCCTGGCCTGGACAACCCTGCCTTCGAGGAGAACGCGGCTGCTGACAGTATGTGCCATTCAACTTCCTTCCGTTTTTCACGTCTTTTCAAATCAGACCTTTCCTTCCTTCCCACTCCTCGCTATTTACGTTCCCGACATGTGTTGTTTTTCCTCTTCAAAAAGTAATTTTATTGAGACATGATTCACATACCACATATTCACGCTTTAAGTGTACAATTCCGACAGTTTGCAGGTGAGAAACGGAACGTGAATCTCACCCCGGGGACGCTTGTCCTTCCCCGCGCCTCTTCTGTTGTAGCCCACGGTCTCCCTCGTCGTTAACATGCTCCTTACTGTTTGTGTGTTTCAAAGCCTGTCGCTTCTTGACTAAGAAATCCACAGCACCAAGAACGACAGAAATGACACCTCAACTTAAGTGCTTATTCTGTGCCAAGCACTTCACATAGATTAACCGATTAACTATACCATTATTCCAAGATTTTTTTTTTTTTTCTTTTAATGGTGAGGAAGGAGCCTGAGTCTTGAGAGATTAATTGGTCAAAGTCGGACAGCCACAAAATGGCCAGGGACACATCTGCCTCCAAGGCCGTGCTTCTTACTATTGCTGTCCTCGGGTCGCAGCCCCTGATCCGTCTTGATGGCCCACCAGGAAACAGACAGCCTGCAGTCCAAGATCTTGGGCGTATCTTGATGGTTGGCCCTATGCCTTTACGTCTAAATAGGATTTTCTCTTAGGAAAATTCTAAATTTTGCTACTAATTCAAATTTTCCCTTCCATGGTTATAACACATTTTTCATCTCCTAACACTCAATTCAAGACCCTCCTGTTCTTAGAGGTTGATGTAATTGTTTTGTTTTGTTTTGTTTTGTTTTTTTAACGTACTGCCTTGCATTGTTTATAGTTGTTTCATGGTTCAAACTTTCTCTGATCAGGACAAGACGACATTGTCTATATATGTCTTTATCAGATCGCTGTGTCATCCCTAGTAATCTGATTCATAGCAGTTATTTATTGATTATTTACTGATCACCTTTCCAAGAGAAAGGGTTTTGATCCTCTTAACGTGTAGACGTTTTCTGTCATTCTTTTCCTTATCCAGTAATACTGCCTCGCCATTAATCATCTGTTAACATAAGGTATCACTTATGATAGATGATAACTTACTTACCTGAAGAGAATCAAAATATAAAACGTTTTTCTTTCCATCTATTTTTCTCTTTCTCGTTTTTAACCTGGCAGCTTTACAACAACCACTTAGTTTACCGGAAGGCGAAATTACCACGATTGAAATTCACCGATCTCATCCTTATATTCAGTTAGGAATGAGCATTGTGGGTGGCAATGAAACCCCGCTGATTAACATTGTCATCCAGGAAGTCTACCGGGACGGGATAATCGCCAGAGACGGGAGACTCCTTGCTGGAGACCAGATTCTTCAGGTATCAATTTTAATTATTTTGTGAACCTGCATCGCTTCGCTCTTATTCATAAATTTCAAGCTTAGAAAACTGACACTGTGGAGCCTGAAATCTACAAAGGTAAGTTTCACTGCTCTTACATGCACAACAGACCGGAATTTATCTGTAATTTTTCGTATTTCCCCGCACGCGTGGAACGTATTTTTTTTTTTTTTTTTCTCCCTACCTTAAATTCGATCCCGCGGTTGACTCCGTGCCTGTCCTCTGTGGGCCAGCTGGGTTCTTCCTGGCTCGGACTCCATGCTTGGCTATCTCAGGGCCACCCTCACTGCTGAAATTCTCTTGTCCCATTGGCTTTATCTCTAGTCCATTATACCGTCCATCAGTTACCTTCCTTGTCTGATTTATCCTTCTCTACGCTGATTACTGTGATCTAGAAAAGACAGACCGTGCGGCACTAGCTGCTTAGAATTTATACCGTGGACTCAAGATAGAATTCAGAAAGGGCGGTCTCTTGTTGGCTCCCAAATGCGCTCTCCTCAACAAACAGCCTGACTCCGCACTAGGCCTCGATGCTCGCTTCTCCGCTCTCCTCTTTGAGGAGAAATAGCTACTCCCGCAGAAGATCTGGCTTGGGACGAGACGTTCTTGTAGTGGGTTTGTTGACACTGAGGGTGTGGAGATGGCCAGAATCCTACTGCACAGGACTGGAGTTTCTGTGAACATTGGCCTGGATATATGACCCATACAAGTGTCCATGATACTTGAAGCTAAAAGAATGGATATATAGGAGAGAGAAGAAGTAGTCATGAATGAGAAAAGGTGCCTCTTGGGAACCCAAGCTCAAGGACTTTTGCCTCCTCAGTGTCACCGTTCAGTCCTTCACCGTGGTCTGTGGGTCTCCACCCCTCACTTCCATTTTCCCTGCCACCTCTCCGGTCTGTCCCCTCAGTGCTTCTCGTCTACTCTAGTGGAATCAACACCCCGGCCTCCCCACTGTCTGCTCTGAAATCTGGCACGACCCCAGACCTCTTTTTACTTTAAGCGCTGACATTTCCTTGCTTTTCTCTTCACCGCTTAACACATAACCAATCACAGAAAATTATTTCAGTGTACTGTCTTTCTCTGGTGACTGCAGCCACCTTGATTATACACATGGTACAGATCTGTGGATATGTACCCATAATGCTGTGCATGTAATAAGGGCCCAGGAGGGGCGCCTGGGTGGCTCAGTCAGTTTTGCGTCCGGCTTCGGCTCGGGTCATGATCTCACAGTTTGTGAGTTCGAGCCCCGCGTCAGCCTCTGTGCCGACAGCTCAGAGCCTGGAGCCTGCTTCGGATTCTGTGTCTCCCTCTCTCTCTGCTCCTCCCCTGCTCGTGCGCGCTCTCTCTCTCTCTCTTTCTCTCTCTCTCTCAAAAATAAATAAACATTAAAAAATATATATATATAAATAAAAAATAAAATAAAAAATAAGTGCCCAGGAAATGCTTGCTGAATCAATAAAAGTGTGGATTTAGATATAATATCCTATCAGGAATAGCTGTCTGCTTTATTAAAGCAAAACTTAGAAAGGCTAGGATTTTTAGCTCTTGAAAAGAAACGTCCAGATGGGGAAAAAGACAAAATGGGCTCCCAGAGCAGCGAGGATTAACCTTTCCTGGGGGTTCCTGGCTTCGGTTTCCACTCCCGTCTGGATGCTGCGTCTTACAATAGATCATTGACACTTTACCAGTCGGGCCCCACACCCCTCCTTCTTTGCCGTTCGCCTGGCTGACACAGACTGAACTTCTCGCGTTTTGTTTTTTTACCAAATCCTAAGAGGGAATAGGAGAATACAGGAAGCATAACTAATCCAGCTTATGTAAAATCCATTTTCCGATCCTGCCATAGCCAGCTACTTACTGTCTTACTGTATTTGCTGTCATTTTATGATGTCAGTGCTCTGGTGGCATGAGGTTGGCACAGCTCTGTGGACACCTTACCTGCCTTCCTTCCTTCCCAGCTCCTGGTCCGCTGCTCCACGGAGGAAATCTTGTGGCCGATTCCCCAGGTGCATCGCCCCTGGCATTCTGATACCTTGGCGGTCAAGACCAGGAGAGCCAGACTGCCCTTTCCTGCAGCTTACATAGTGTTCTTTCTTTTTCTCCTCTTCTGGCCTTTCTAGCTATAATTAAGTGTACATGTATTTTTGTATGTTGTTCTTTGCTGCCAGCAATGTGCCGGTATTAACCTTTTGATACATTTCTCATTCTTTCTCTATATTTTAAAGGTAAAAACAAATGCTTTGTTCGTATTTGCATTTCTTGGAATGTAATTGAGGTTAAATGGCTTTCAGGTTTTGCTCGCTAATATATTTCATCTGTAAGGCTTTTTACTGTTCTGCTCTGGAGATTCGTTTAATAACACAACCGAGTCTGTATACCTCAAATAACAATCTAATTCTCTGAAATTATTGGCTGTAATTTTGGGAAGTAACTCAAGGCTGTAAATCCACATTGTAGACGTTCCAGTGCGTTATTGTTGTTTGTGGAGGCATACGTACCAACAGCTCTAATAATGGCAATCTTAAATCCAGTTTAGTGATTTCAAATTGATACACGTATGTAAGCGATGAAGCACGGGAATCTTCCCCCAAAACCAAGAGCACACTGTATGCGCTGTATGTTAGCCAATTTGACAATAAATTATATTTAAAAGAAAGAAAGGAAAGAAAGAAAGAAGAAAGAGAGAGAGAGAAAGAGAAAGAAAGAAAGAAGAAAAGAAAAGAAAAGGAAAGAAAAGAAAAAAGAAATGAAAAGCATGAGCAAATCACCTGATTAGTGAATTCACAAAGAGTCTCTTCTGCTGTGGGCCCTGACTTCTCATTGGCCTTTAACTGGCTTGTCAGACTCACTGAGTAAAACCACACCCCCTGCCCAAATATGGAGAAGTATTTATGATCGTTCAAAAGTGAACACTTGGAAAGAAGGCTACTTGGTATTTTTTTTACTACCTGGTCGTCTTACACTTTGTACAAGCTGCATAAATAGTACAGTATGAGCCAATTTGAAAATACCTTAGAATCGATACAATGGTCTGTTTCCAGACCAAAGAGCTAGCTGGCCTACGCTTTTAGTTCCGCAAACCATATGCAGTAACAGTGTGTGGCTTTGGTTTTCCAGCACACGCGTGCACACACGCGCGCGCGCACACACACACACACACACACACACACACACGTTATTCTCTTAAATAGCTTCTTTGAAAAGGAGAACCATATACCTTTAGGGCCATTTGCTGTGCAGAATTTTGAGCAGTTTGGAGAAAAAATACTGTTATAAATGATATCAATATCACTGTTAAAAATAATATATATTTTAGGACATTATTAAGAGTAGGTGTTTTCAGTATGATCTGGATTGTCAGCAATTTATTCACTTCTGGTTTTGAAGAAAAATGATTATAGTCGTGTGTTGACCACATTGTTACAAACTACGTTTGACTAGCAAATCCACTTCAGGCTGGCTTTTTAGAAGCTGCCTTGAAGTTCTGTTCTTGACCCTCTATTATTCAACCTGTTAATCAAGGCTTTGCATGGCTACCAAATGCACAAATGTTGCAAACTTGGGAGAATAGCAAGTCTGTGTGACATGTACGATCTTTAATGCCTGCATTTTAAAAGGTATCAGTAGGCCCAAATCAACAAAATTCAAGTTACTAGTGCTCAAAACTGTAAACCCTAGGTGGATAGGAGGGGGGAGGGCCTTTTGTGACATAGATTCACGTGGAAAAGATTGAAGGGTTTGGGTGATCACAAACACCTAACCCGGAGCCTGCCACATGACCGAGGCTCATAGGTGTTGATTTCCCCCTCGTGGTTGTTTCAGACAGATGAAGAGAGGAATTCTGACTGTGATAAGTGTCAAGAATGGTGCCAACCCCTTCTTCTGACAATATTCTGGTGAATAATTGAAGCTGAGTATATTTTCTCTGTAAGGCTACATGTCCAATGATTCACTATCCTCATTTCAAGATTAAAGTTTAATAAATGTTCTGTGAGTACTGAGTTATGCTTGTTGTATTAGATGTTACACTTGCGGGCTAAGCTAAAGACTTAGAGTGAAACTATAATTGACCTGCTCTTCCTTAAAATAGAAATCACTGGGGCCCCTGGGTGGCTCAGTCGGTTGAGCGTCCAACTCCAGCTCAGGTCATGATCTCACAGCTTGTGAGTTCGAGCCCTGCGTCGGGCTCTGTGCTGACAGCTCGGAGCCTGGAGCCTGCTTCGGATTCCGTGTCTCCCTCTCTCTCTGCCCCTCCCTCTCTGCCCCTCCCCTGCTCATGCTCTGTCTCTCTCTGTCTCTAAATAAACATTAGGAAAAAAAATTTTTTAAAAAGAGGAGGGGGGCGCCTGGGTGGTTCAGTCAGTTGAGCTTCCGACTTTGGCTCAGGTCATGGTCTCGCGGTTTGTGAGTTCGAGCCCCGCGTCGGGCTCTGTGCTGACGGCTCAGAGCCTGGAGCCTGCTTCCAGTTCTGTGTCTCCCTCTCTCTCTGCCCTCCCACACTAATGCTCTTTCTCTCTCAAAAATAAATAAAAAGCTTTTAAAAAAATAAGATAGAAATCACTGATCTGGAATAGGATTGTGACCCTGGAATGTGTCACTTTCCTTAAAATAACGCTCGGTTTCGTTTTTGTAGCTTACGTGTGTTTCATTTGGAAAAGCAAATTCAATCCAGTAAAACTTCAATTTCTGTCCCATTAGAGCTAGTATTATTTCATTAGCACTTGCCTTATGCTGCTGCTGTCTGCACATTGCCCTCCTGATCTCTGAAGTGTGAAGGAGATAGTGAGCACATCTCACTGGAGAGGAAACACACTCACAGAAGTTCTGTAATTTGCCTGGTGACATTCGGCTTGTACATGACAGGACCAAGGACTCTAATTCAAGACTGTCATTGAAGCCCGTGTTCCCAACTACTCTTCTCTACTTGGTGCTAGTCATTGTAAGTTAAGTTTAGGAACTGTGTATATTTTTTTTAATGTTTATGTATTTTTGAGAGAGGGGGAGACAGAGAATCCCAAGAAGGCTCCAGGCTATCAGCACAGAGCCCGACGAGGGGCTGGAACTCACACACCGTGAGATCGTGACCTGAGCCAATCAAGAGTCGGACGCTTACCTGACTGAGCCACCCACACGCCCCAGGAACTATATTTTAAAACATCTTGGGGGTGCCTTTCTTTGTGAACAGTGACTGTCTATCATTTTCCCAATGTTAGTTTCTTTGGGAAGCAGTATGTGAACATTCCTACAAGTTGAGAAAAGATCGTCACGCTTTGGTCCCAATTCTTTCTTCCAGGTCAACAACTGTAACATCAGCAATGTATCCCACAACTATGCCAGAGCCGTCCTCTCCCAGCCCTGCAGCACCCTGCAACTCACCGTGCTGCGAGAGAGGCGCTTCGGGAACCGAACACACAGCCACTCTGACGGTAGCTCTCCGCGGGAAGAGGTCTTCCCCGTGGTCCTTCACAAACGGGACTCTGGTGAGCAGCTCGGCATTAAACTCGTACGAAGGACGGATGAGCCAGGCGTGTTTATTCTTGACCTGTTGGAGGGGGGGCTGGCCGCGCAGGACGGAAGGCTGAGCAGCAGCGACCGAGTGCTTGCCATCAACGGACATGACCTGAAGCACGGGACCCCCGAGCTTGCCGCCCAGATCATTCAGGTACACGCCGGACGGTCATCCCGGTTGTTGGGCCCTGATTACCTTATGTCAGTGTTTGTTTTCATAGCATGAGAATCCAGAGGATATTTGATGCTTCATGGGGAAATCAAGCACGGCTCCCTAAATCCTTCAAAATGTAAAACGCACACTAGTTTAACTTCCTTACCGATAGAGTCCTTTCTAGAAAACTGTATCCCTCCGAACATGTAGCCTGGCTCTTTATAGAGTGAAGGCTCTACAGTTTCACATGGGTTTCTCATTTGCTCCCTGGGCTCCCCCCAGTCCCAGACAACAGATGAAGGTGTCCACATTTAACAGGTGAGAAAAGTAAAGCTGGAAGGAGCTGTGATTCCAAGTGTGACTTACACGCTCTCCTCACTCCCCCTCTGTGCTTCAGGCTCCATACAAATGGGGGGGAAAATACTTTTTTTATTAAGAGTAACTCTAATCCAGGGGCGTCGGGGTGGCTCAGTCAGTTAAGCATCTGATTTTGGCTCAGGTCGTAATCTCAGGTAAACAGCTCGGAGCCTGGAGCCTGCTTCAGATTCTGTGTCCCCCTCTCTCTCCGCCCCTCCTCGCCTCCCTCCCCCCCCCCCCCTCAAAAATAAATAAACATTAAAAAAAAAAAGAATAACTCATCTCTATAGTGCCCTTTTTTAAAGGAATTCAAAGCATTTCAAACACATCATCACTTGTGTTCTCACAGTATCTCTGTGAAGTAAGTAAAGATAGTTATTATTAGAGAAAAAACACATTTTCAATAAGAGCATTAAGACATATAAAGTAGAAAGTCATCCAGAGGAGCAGATCTTCCGGTTCTACAAGCTGCCATGGCATCTGACGATGTGGGTCTCCCCTGCAGCGATAGGGGTGACACAAAAATGTGTTGTTGTTATTTATTTTTTTTAAGTGAGCACCAGAAAACCCTCTTAGATACAGGAAGCCAAGCATTAAATATGATCGGGCATCAGGAATTAAAGCGGGTTGATGGTCACTGAGAAATGCGTACAGTACACAGAAGCAAGTAACAATGACAATTTAAGCTCCTGGGTAAGAACACCCAAGTTTCAATCCCATATAATTTACTCCTTTTCACAAATGTTTGGTTCAGTGTCACGTCAAGAACACACACGCACAGGAACCAAAATACTGCAGTAGGAGGGAGATTTGGGAATGGGTCTTCCGTCACAGACTTGAAGTTTAAAAAAATTGGATCCCTTAAAATGTCATCCAATCAGAGGCAGCAGTGGTACCTTCCCCTGTGGGTGCCATCCAGCTGGTGCACCGGTGAGCACGAGTTGTCTGGGGGGGCAGAGGAGGGACTGCTGGCAGGGAGAGGGGAGAAGAAGAAGAAGGTTCACACACTCATGGGGCTTGTTAAAGGAAACAGGAGAATCGCGTGGGCTTTTATGAAGTGAGAAGTCAGGTCCATAAGATGGAAGGAGCTGGGTCGACTGTATATTTCAGGCAAATATCCTAATGCGTAAGTAGGTGGGCCTCACGAAATTTCTAACCAAAACGTGAGAAAAATAGGTGCACGGGTAGAAAATACATTTGAAATTTTTCCTGGTAACATATGATATCTGGAGTTTTATAATCCACATAGATAGTTGTGTCGTATTTTGCGCCATAATTCTCCTCAAACCGTAGAAAACTGAAGTTGCTCAAGTTGTTTCTTTATGAAAAACTGATAAATCTTACTGTTTTCGATTATGAAAATAGCATGTGCTCCATGTCTAAGAAGGAGACTAGTGAAGACAAAATACAGAAAATAAAGAAGGAAGTTAAAATCACATTCAATCCGAAGACCCCAAGATAGCAACATTAATATTTTAGAGAAGATCATTCCAAACATTTTTATGTATGCGTCCACGGATCAATAGGGACATTTTACATAGATACTTAACCTGTGTGCTCATCTTGCAAATTCTGAGTTTGCCACCCTTGATGTCCACAGTAGGTTGTAGACTTCTTACCCTGAAAATAGACTCATCATCACATAGCTGTGTAGTAGGCATGTCATACTAAAACGTATTTAATCATTCCCGTTGAAAGACTTTGACTTTTTTTGTTTTCAAGTTTAAGAGATTTTGCTAAACTTCCGCAATACATACTCCTAGCCACAAGGCATGCCACTAATTTGTGAATTATA